TTTCACAGAGAGATACGAATCATTTGAATGAATCGTTACATAAATACAATCAAATGAATCAATCGATTCATAATTGCGATGATTTGGAAAGCGTTGAAACGATTTCTATTTCCGAAAAGGTATGCATGCGTTGACCACAATTCGCGAATCAATCAAACATTTCAACAATATTTAGTTAGATTTCAATTGTGAAGTTTGTTTAGTCAAATCCCTATATCATGGACTTAACATTACTCATAGGGTTAGCATTGCCATAAACTTAGCATTACCCCTGTTAAGGGGAAGTTCACAAATTACATTCGCATTTTTTCAGAAATTTAGACCCCCTCCCCCTTTTTTTGCAATTGTTCACATGTAGCTTTTTAAAGAATATTACGTTCGCGTGTCCCTAACACTCGCCCCTCATTGACGGCAGAATATCTGGAAACAAAACTATTTCTATTCAAAAGTCATATACAGTATTAGACCATTTGGGTGAAGTAGCAGTTGTGTGAACGAATCATTTGTGTGAACAAAATGCTAAAACCCAATCACTTCACCCAAATGGTCTTTTACTGTATTTTGTTATCAAACTGTTGTTATCAAAAGATTAACTTTAATAAAAGGTAATCCCGTAAACTCTTTAAATTGTTTAAATACTAACGTTCTTCAGGGCTCTGCCCCTCCCCTTCCCCTGCCCTCCCCCAAGAATGCGCAGTGGCCGACCCCCTCCTCCCCCAGGTGCGAATGTAATTTGTGAACGTCCCCTAACTAGGGTGCTATGAAAATTAAGGTAAAAACTTGTGTCCTTTATTTGTCATAAATAATTACTGTATGTTTCCCTATTTGTCCTCAAAATTCAATTAAAAGTTCTCTTTTTCTAAAATGGGAAGTGGTCACCCTACCCCTAACCTTATTTAATAGATACAGTATAAGCTGTAATTTCTTAGAAACCCATGTATAAGCATTTTCCTATAGAAAAAGTGTTTCTCATGTTATCATATGAGAGTATCATATAAGTATAGCCATAGGATTAACATGGAATCACATGTTAAATTCCATAAGGGAAGGGTTCCTAACGATCCTATAAACCACATTTTTAATAAATGAATTGCAGTTAAAAATTTAATGAATGATTAAAATTATTTTAAAAGCTGTTCGCAATTTTTAAACAGCTATTTCCTAAAAAGAGGTTAACCATAGCTTTGTGTGTAATACTTGTTTAAATCGGTCTAAAGTACTCATAAGTTTACATCATTTCAATACATATCTAATGAATGTTTAATGAAATTAACAATTGTGTTGTTTTGTGCAGAAAACGTCGATTTCTCCGACTTCGATGTCCGGCAATATTCTTCAGGAAATACTTTATTCAAATGAAAGTCAAGAGATTAGACGTAAGTCTATAACAGTGTTTGAAATAATACGGTATTAATAATGAATTTCGAAATAAATTTAGCCACAAATCAAGACTTTACTAAACATTTAACAGTCGCTCAAAACAAAGTGGAGAATTTAACGCAGGTTTGGTTGCTTTCACTGCTTTGATTCGCTATAAAACTCTAGTATTGCGGCCAACAAATCCGTCCGGTCTGTGTTGATATATAGCTTAAACGGAGTGAGCTAGATCACATGTGTAAAGTGTAAAATAAAATTTCATGTCTATTTTTTGCGTGAAAAGATTATTAAAATCACGTGACTAAGACATAAAATTTTGGAATCTTTGCCAGACCCACAATATATTATTATCATATACAGTTTTTATATAAAAATTTAAGAAAAAGTACCAACTTTTGCATGTTAACTTATGGGAATAAAAAAATATTAGATTTAAATATAATTATTAATTATATTTAAATCTAATATATTTTTATTCCCATAAGTTAACATGCAAAAGTTGGTACTTTTATTAATTATTAATTAATTAAATTTCTAAATGCTGTATTACATTAAATACTAATGTTACCGGTAGTAGAAAGAATGTTTTAAAAATTTATTCTAAAGCCAAAATGTCGTAAATTGAAACACCGAGGTTTAATATTTAGTCATCAAAACCGAAAAACTAAGGAATTTTTCAAACATTCTTTTTACTAACATTATTAACATGGCACATTCCGTTTGAGAGATATATCATATATGAAATGTAGACTGGAAGCATTTTGTTGGCCGCATAATTATTTGAACCAATTATTGATTTAATGTTTCCTTAGCTTTTAGAAGAGAGTGAAAGCAATAATATGTTAATCACTGAACAAAACAGAGTCTTAAAGGAAGAGATCCGAAGACTTGAGCGCAGTATTGAACGCATAGAAATGGCCGACAATTTAGAGTATTTGAAGAATATTATTGTTAAGGTAGGCATCAAAACACTTGTGTTTGTTTTGCGATCAACAGTATTAATATTCACACTATTGACACAATTTGTGTTATATTTAACAGTTTATAACATTGAGCGGTGAGGACGACAGGCAACGACTTATTCCAGTGTTGACTACAATTTTGAAGTTAAGTCCAGACGAACAGAATTTGTTCCAAACATTTACTTCCATTGACCAAAACAACGGTCCAAATAAATGGAGTGATTATCTCTACAATTGGACTAACGATAAATGAGTGCAATCTGTGATCTAATTAATTATATTTAGTTTTTTATTAATTTAAAACAAATTATGTTTTTGTCTTTTCA